GTGACTCATGAGAGACACTTCCTCCGCAGGGCTTCTGTGATTCTCATTGGCCATTTCTCAGCAACCACACTGGAAAAAACAGAGTAATATCCAGTGTTACAGCAGGAAAGGTCCCAGATCTGCTTGGCACATGTAATACAAGTTCATTCTGATAATAAAACAGGGATTGAACCAGTACACACAAACAGCACCTCAGTCCTGAAAAACACCTGTTATCCTGGATACAACTAGCTATGAGGAATGCTCAGTGTTAAATGGGGTTAGCCAGGGTGTTCTTGAGGCCAGCATTCAAAATATTCCCTTTTCTGCTAGATCTCTCCAAAGAGTGAAGCATCATATTGTAAAAAATAACATATGGTCCTCTGTGATTATGTGCCACCTTCTGTCACACCAATACCACTGGCCAGGTCTGATTTGTTATCCTCAGAGACAGTTTAAATCAACTCGCATACACATAACTACACATAATTTCAGCAAAAGGCTTTAGTTAAAAAAAAATCTGCTATATAAAACAGCCCTGGAGGTTCACTAACAACTTCTGTGGCTCAGAAAACCACAGGTTGGGAGTCAGGAGTTCCCAAATTATTACCTTCTGCATGTCTTAGGCCAACACGTCCTAGTCCTAATCCTAGTTCTAGTCCTAGTCCCACAAGCAGGGCCTCAGACAACTGTTCTAGCCCTTGTTCCTTTTTCATCTGCATAACAACAGTTATGCAAAAGAAGGTCTGTTGGAACAATAAAGCTCCTCTTAATCATAATTTAATGTTGCCAGCTGGATAGAAACAGCCAGGCTTTTCCTCTCTTAGTCACCACTCTTCCCCTGGGGAAGTTTCTGAAACAGTGCCACAGACTGCTCTTCTCTGGCAGCCCGAAATGCATTGGCAATGAACTGGGGGGAAACAAGGCATTTTACATAATTCCCAGCTACCTCAGACACTTAACTCTATTCAGGCTTTGGAGACACCCAACAGCACACACCAGCACAGTCAGGGCGACAGCAGCAGCACAATGCTGTGCACAGTGTGCTCCTCACCTGAGCAGCACACTACCTGGCAGCAGGAGCCACGTACAGGAGCTCTTCAATAAAAACTCTGGATTTTTGGGGGGCTAAATCACTGGGATTTGAAGCCTTTGCTGTGCTTCCTGTGCATAAAGGCCAGTGGCTATTTCAGCAGAACAGAATGGCAGGAGCAAACAGTATTTAAGAGCAAGTCGGCAGTAGCTCAGCTACCCACAGCACTGGCTGAGATCAGCATTGAGGAGCTTGACTCCTTCAGCCCCTCAGAAGATGTTTCCATCCTTCCAGGCAGGGTACACAAGGGAAGATGTGGGACATTGTGGATACCTGGAGTTTGGGTCTCCACCCCAGAGCAAGCGGGTAACGCCCCGTGCCTGCTGCAGAGCACAGAACACATCTGGGGACCTTTAACGGCCTCAGCAGTAAGCGTTGTGCAATCTCACACTCCCTCCTGAACTCCAACCCCACCATGTCCTTACAGTCACTTCACAAAGGTGCCAAGGTGAGCTGGGCCAGTGGCAGCAGCTCTGGCTCTTGTCAGCCTGTGGGTACAGGGACCCCGGAAACGGCAGGGCTGTGAGGCAGGAGCACAGGGAACCTCTGAGGGATGTTTAGTCCCTCCTCCTCCACAAACAAAAGCTACACTTGCACATGCAGCTGCTGCTGTGTCCTGCATGTTACACAGAGCACAACCTGGAGTGAACTGGTGCGTACTGGGGGGACTACAGCTCCCAAAGCCATGATTGTCAGGATTCACAGACAGTGCTGGGCACGGAGCCCTGGCCAGCCTGGATGGCACATGCCAGCTCCAGTGACCTGCCAGTGTTTTTCATCACCCATCGCTCAAAAGAGCTGTCAAATAGGGTGACTGGCTCTGCCTCCTCCATTTATGGATAAACTGGAATGGTGGAAGTAGCCAAGAAGCTTTATCACTTGATCAGTGTTAACAATTATTAAATCCAAGTACCCTTATGGTCTGGGAAAAGGAAACAGCCAAACTAACAAGAATCAAGGCAAAAGCCACTCTACTTTTATGTAACTACACTGGGACTTAGACAGTGACAGGGATCCAGAGGAAGCATTTTATGGTGATTACGGTATGTTTTTATACACCATGGCAATGCATACAGTGTTTCACAAACATAGTACAACACTGTCCCTGCCCAGAGAGCTTACAACCTAGAGCAGCAGCACAACCAGAGACCACAGCGAGGGGTAAGGAGACACAGAGTAAAGAAGTACAGCAAACAAGACCAGTATTTGTTTCCATTTCACCGAGGTAGAATTTTGTACAAGACAACAGCAAATGCAGACAAAGGAGATCAGCGACAGCCCCTCGGGACAACCCCGCGGTTCTCCCCCATCCCAGAACCACGGCTGCTCCAGGAGGCTGGGAGCCAGGCCATCGCCTCCCCATCGGCACCCATCCCCTTTCCGAGCGCCGGCCGGCGGGCCCGGAGCCGAGCAGCGCAGCGCTCCCGGGGCACCACGGGCACTGGGGATCGGGGCACCGTGTCGGCGCGGGGAAGCGGCCGGAACCCTCCTGGGGCTGCCCTGCCGGCGGCGAAGACGGCACGGAGCTCCTCGGCGCGGCGGGCCGGGGCCGGCGGGCGGCCGCGGGCGCCCGGAGAGTGCGGAGAGGAGGCGGCGGCGACGACAACTCTGCAGTCTGGCCGGGAGCGGTCCGGGGGGCGCGGCCTAAGCGGGGCGGCGGCCGGCCGGGCGGGTACTTACGGTGGCGGGCTGCCTGGCGGGACGCGTGGCCGTCGCTCCGTGCTCGCCGCTGGTGCGCCGGGGCCGCATCCTCATAGCGGGGCGTCCCGCGCCTGGCCCGCGGGGGCGGCTGCGGAGACAGGAGCCCGTTACGGCGCCGCGGGGAGGGGCCGCGCCACGCGCAGGCGCGGCGGGGGCACAGCGGGGGCGCGGCGGCGGGAGCGCGGCGGCAGCAGCGGCCGCGCTCTAAGATGGCGGCGGCGGGCCCGCGCCGCCTTCCCTCCGCCGCCCGCGCGCCGCCGCCGGTCCCCGCCGCCTCCTCCTGCAGGGCGGGCCGCGGCCACGCGGTTGCGCCGCTTACCTGGGCGTGAGGTCAGGGGCTGCAGGCACCGGGCACCGCTGCGTCCGCCACCGCCGCCGCCCCACCTCCGCCTCGCCCGCCCCGCCGCCGCCATCTTGCGCCGGGGCCGCGAGTGCGGAGCGCATGCGCGAAGCAGAGCCCGCGCTTGGGGGAATTACGTGGAGCATGCGCAAAGGCTTCGCGGTCACCCCGCCCAGCCGGCGCCATCTTTGTGGCGGGCACCGCCCCGCGGTGGGTGAGGAGCGGTCGCGGTCCCGCCCGCGCTGTGGCGGAGCCGCTTCGCGAGGGCCGGGCCCGCCCGCCGCGGGCGGTTCCCGGCACTGACAGGGCGCGGCCGCAGCGGTCGCTACCAAAATGCCTTTGAAGAGCGGTGGCGCCGGGGCGGGGCGGCGGCCGGGCCGGGAGGGCTGCATTGATGTGAAGGCGCGGGGCTTCCGCCGCCCGCCGGGCACAGCGGTTGCTCCTGCTGCGCTCCGGCCCTGGCAGCCACTGCCTGTCCCGGCGGTCCCTCGCGCGTAGCGCTGGCACGTCTCTCCCCACACTACTGCCGTGGCCGTTCCCCGGCCCGCGGGTCCCGGTGGCAGCCGGCGGGCGCTGGCAATGAGGGACGCGGTGCAGCGCAGGGCACTGCCCCGTGGTCGCTGGGGTTGCTCCCTTGCCCCGCGGCTGCTGCTGCACAGCGGCTGTGGAGGATGACACGGGACCTGGGAGGACACGGCTGTTTACTGGGGGCTCCCTGGGGGCCGCAGGACCCCTCGCAGCCGGCGGAGCTTCTTCACATCCACCTAGCCGAGCACCCGGCCTGCCTCGGCCCCACCTCCCTGGGCAGCCGATGGCCGGTGCTGGCCCACGGCCCCCGGTGATGGGGAAACCGCGGGGCCTCTTCTGCTCTTTTCCTCTGGGATATCCCCACTGCCCAGCTGTCTAAGGGGTTTCCCATCTCCCGGAGTCCTGCCCTCTGCTCCGGGAGCACCGGGGTCAGTTTGATGAGTTAACGCTGGCGCAGCAGTTCTGGAGGGGTAAGTGCTGTGTAAGCACTGAGGCTCCCGTTTTGGGCTTCCAGCAGCCCGACTCCGCTGCCCAGAGCACCGATAACCGCCCTGGGCACAAAGGGCCGGCTCAGACCGACCCCTGAGGGCAGAGGGGACTCTGTGAAGAGACAGCGAAACTCCAGCCTTGGAGCGAGGCAGCTCAAGTGGCCGAGGGGGTGGTGAAGGCAGGCACAGACTCTCGGCATGGCTCGGCCAGGGAGGATTTTTGGTAGGGAGCCCCTGGATGAGGAGCTGCCCGTGTTTCCCGTGACGGGAGCTGGACGGCGGCGTGGGTGCTCATGGGCACACTCCAGCAGTGCCCATCTCGGTGCTGTGGCCCTGGAGCCAGCCAAGCTGCCGCTAACGCACGGGGCAAGGCCATCCAGAGGCACGTCCTGTGGAGCCAGCGCTGCCTGGCCCGGGGTCGGGGCAGTCCTGAAGGCCGGCAAATTCTCTGCTCAGGTTCATGTTACAGATGGCCATGAACCAACTCCCCCAGCAGCACTCCCGGCCGGGTCTGCACTGAAGCTGGGATAACTGAGCACTTGCAGAAACTTCTTAACACAGATTGGGAATTCCCAACAGCCCGGACACTGCCATTTGCACATGTGCCCCTCGCACGGGGGGTGCCGGAGAGATCCACGGCTGTGGCTGCGTGTGCAGGACGTGGGGAGCGGTGTTGTCGGGGGAGGAAGGCTCCGTGTCCAGTCTAGAGCTGGGGTGGCCAGGCGAGCCGCTGTCTGTGCCGGGGCTGGCAGCCAGCCGGGCTCGGCGGGACACAGACCTGCATCCTCCCCGTCCGTCCCGCTGTCTCCTCCCAGCTGTGAGCCCGCAAGGAGTGGCAGCTGGGGGCTATATAAAGGCAGGGAAACCTCAGCCAGCTCAAGAGAAAGTCTTGGAGCTGGTGGTGTTCTCCCTCCTTCCTGCCTTCACGTGATTCAGCTTCCCCACGCCAGGAGCCGGGGACCAGCCGCGCTGTAAGTATCCGAGCTGAGCCAGCATTGTGTGGGGGAACCCCCAGCCTCTGGGCAGGACGGTGGCTCCGGGCCCCGGGGAAGGGGATCCCCCATCCTCTCTCTTCATAGAATTGGAGGAAAATGCAGTGGGGGAGCCCCGTCCCACCCCACAGCCCCGGGTAGAGGGTCCCCATCCTCTCCTTTCAGAGAACTGGAGGAAGCTGTGGGGGAGCCCCGTCCCATCCCTCAGCCTGGCACGGAGCTCTGCCTGTTGCGGGATGGACAGGCTCCAGCTCCCGTCTCAAACCAGCCTGGGGGCAGGCGGCACATCTCGGGGGGGCTGTGAGGGTTGTGGGGCGGCACCACGGGGGAGGGCTCTCTCCTCTGCGAACTGCTGGGGCTCCCCGCTGCAGCAGCACGCACGGGGCTGGCGCCTGTCCCTGCGGTTCGGGGGGAGTGCTAGAGTGAGTGTTCCCAGATGTGGGACCCTCGGGCTCCACAGGGCCAGTGCGGGGACTTGTGCATAGCACCCTGCGGAGGGGCCGTGCCCCTCATGGGCTGCTGGTGCAGAGGTTTCGGGTAAAGGCAACCTGGGCAGCAGCACTGGGGGGTTTCAGGGAGAACAGTGGAGCCGTGGGGTGCTCCTTGGAGCTATCACCTGTCCCGGGCAGATTGGACAGCAGCTGCATTCCTTCCAGTGTGTCCCCCGGGCCTGTCTGTGATGACATCCTGTATGTCCCCAGGCCAGTCCGTGCTGACCCTGCTCTCTGCCTCCAGGTGCGAGATGGCTGCTGGCGGCTGCCTCCTTCTCCTTCTTCTGCCCTCGCTGATTGCAGCCTCGCACAGCCCTCCTGGCTGTAAGATCCGGATTACTTCCAAGGGGCTGGACCTGGGTAAGGGGCTGGCCAGGATCTCACAGTCTGGGAAAGAGGGACGTTGGGCACCCTCCTGGGATCTGTGCTTGTGTAGGGCTCTGCTCACCATGGGGAAGCTGGGGAGGAGTGGGGGCTGTGAGAGGCGATGCTGCCAGGAGGGCCTGTCCCAGCCCAGCCTCGTTTTTCCCTGCAGTGAAGCAGGAGGGGCTGCGCTTTGTGGAGCAGGAGCTGCAGAACATCACGGTGTCAGACCTGCATGGGAGTGAGGGACAGTTCCAGTACAACATCAGCCAGTGAGTGCTGCCTGCTGCCCACGGCTTCCCATGTCCATCTGTCCATCTAACCACCGCTGTCCCCTCCCTGCAGGGTCAAGGTGACAGACCTGAAGCTGGCCTCTTCAGACCTGAACTTCCAGCCCCAGCAGCACCTTGTCTTCAACATCAACAATGCTTCCATTAGCCTACGCTTCCGCAGGCAGCTGCTCTACTGGTTCTTGTGAGCTGCCTCCCCTTCCTCCTGCTCTGGGTGCTAACCCACCCCATAACTGTGCTTGCTGGGTGCCACAGGTGCCTTGCTGTCCTGCAGCTGGCAGGAGCTATGTGCTCCTCTCATCTGCTTTCCTGGCTTCTAGCTACGACATTGGGTCCATCAATGCCTCTGCGGACGGAGTCTACATCTACACAGTGCTGCAGCTGGCCAAGGACGAGGCTGGGCGCCTCAAAATCTCCAATATGACCTGCAACGCCTCCATAGCGAGAATGCATGCTGGCTTCTCCGGCACACTCAGGTACACCTGACCCCTCTGTGTGTGCCTGGCTCCCTCACCCCCTTCCCACATCTTCAGTGCTTCCTCATCCCAGCTATGTGCTGGAATGGCCACAGAGCCACAGGGAGAACAGGCAGTGCAGAACCACTCCTGTGTTCTCCAGGAAGGTATACGAGTTCCTGAGCACCTTCATCGTCACAGGAATGCGCTTCCTCCTCAGCCAGCAGGTACAGCTGAGCGCACAGAGGGTCTGTGGGATGTTAGGGCTCAGCCCTTTGTGTGTGGGAGAGGGTAGTCATATCCCACCCATCTGCTGGGCCTTGTCCTGCCTCTGCAGCTCCTAATCCAATCCTGGGAGTGATTTCCCTCAGCCTGGCTCCTTGCCTTGCAGATCTGCCCATCCCTGGAGCATGCCAGCCTGGTGCTGCTGAACTCTTTGCTGGACACAGTGCCTGGTGTGTGTTGCTCTGGGAAAGGGGCTGGATTCCATTCACTGTGGGGCAGACAGGGCTGAGCATCAGGCTGCCAGGCAGCTCCAGGCTAAGTCACACCAGCACATCTTCCCTGGCAGTGAGAAACTACGTGGATGAGCATATCGGGATTGACTACTCCCTCCTACGGGATCCGTCCATTTCCACTGATACCCTTGAGCTCGACTTCAAGGTGAACACTGGGTCCTGCCTTGCTGGTCCTTCCCCATCCCTGTGGAAAAGGGTGTGCCAGTGGGCACGTTGGGCTCCGTGGAGCAGGTGAGGTGGGCTGCCCCGTGGCTGTGGGAACCTCTCCTGCTCTTGGTCCAGGGCATGTTCTTCCCCCGGGTGAGAGAGGACCAGGAGCTGGAGAACCACGCGGTGGAGCCGGTGATCAAGGAGACTGAACGCATGGTTTATGTTGCCTTCTCTGAGTACTTCTTTGACTCAGCCATGCAGTCGTACTTCCAGGCAGGAGTACTGACCATAGAGCTCCAGGGGCAGAAGGTAAGGAGCACCAGACAGTCAGACTGTGTGCAGGCAGGAGGGAGGGGTGGACTGTGTCGCAGAGAAAAGGAGGTGCCATCCAGGGAGCAGCTTTGCTGGTACCTGCAGCAGCGGCTTGCTCCCCCTTCCAGTGGTTTGTGCTCGCCACAGGTACCCAAGGACCTGGAGGTTTTGCTGAGAGCCACATTCTTTGGGACCATCTTCATGCTGGTAAGGAACACCCCAGACAGGATGGAAGGCATGGCAGAGCATAGCCCTGCCCTGTGCCCAGCCTCCAGCTCACCTGCCTTCCCTAGAGCCCTTCTGTGGATGCTCCGCTGCGGCTCGTGCTGCAGGTCTCTACTCCCCCCCGCTGCACCATCAAACCCTCGGGGACCTCAGTCTCTGTCTCTGCTTTCCTGAACATCTCACTGGTGCCCCCGGACCGCCCACCTATCCAGCTCTCCAGCATGGCCATGGTGAGAGGGGGGCTGGGGCTCCTTGTGCAGGCACCCCAGTGTATACAGGAGCAGTGTCCCCCATCCTGTGTTGTAAGGTACTGGTGTGACTGAGCAAAGGGACACTGAACCTGTGGCATGAGCTGGCCTGGTTGTCCTCTGCCTGCTCTGAGTCAGCCCTCTCCCTCCCCAGGAAACCAAGCTGAGTGCCAAGGTATTTCTGCAAGGAAAGGCGCTGCGTGTGCAGCTGGACCTACGACGGTATGGCTGGGGTGCCATGGGGGTATGGGGAGTCCCCTCCACACCTACTCACAACTGCTTCCTCCTGTCCAGGTTTCGCATCTATTCCAAGCAGTCAGCGCTGGAGTCGCTTGCGGTGAGGGCAGGGTGATGGCCTGGGAACCCTTACACCCAGCCACAGTGGGGGGTGGACTGGGGAGAAGCTGTCAGTTCAGGATCCCCACTTACAGCCCTCCCTGCCCTGGCTGGCAGCTCTGCCACTATACTGACCCCAGCTCTTCTCCTGCAGCTGTTCTCACTGCAGGCCCCACTGAAGACCCTGCTGCAGCTGACCATCATGCCCATCATTAACGGTAGGCCTCACTGCTCCCACACAACTGGGAGTGTTGGCAGGGGCATATAGCAGGGCTCAGCCTCATCCCAGCTCTCCCTCGCTGCAGAGAGGACAAAGAAGGGGGTGCAGATCCCACTGCCCGAAGGCATGGACTTCACCAGGGAGGTGGTCACCAATCACGCGGTATGTGGTGGGATGGGACAGCCTGTGCCTCCATGTCCTGCTGGGAAGGGCATAGTCACCTCCAGCCTTGCACTGACCCTCTTCCCTCTGCAGGGATTCCTCACAGTGGGAGCTGATCTCCACTTCTCCAAGGGGCTGCGGGAGGTGATTGAGAAATACCGCCCGGTGCCGACTGCTGCTGCCTACTCCAGCTCCCGGCCCCCAGAGCCCAGCCTGGACCCCAGCTCGCTCTAGCTCTCCTCCCTGGACCAAGGGCAGATCCCGGGCAGGACCCATAGACTGTAGGTAGGAAGCAGCTTCCCTGGTACCACCACATTGTCAGGTGCCCAGGCCCTGGTGGGGCGCAGCAAGGTGGAGAGGGTGCTCTGGGAATCCCTGCTGCAGCCCTGCTCATCACACTAATAAACCACCTGACTCTAACCACATGGCCTCATTGCTTGGAGGACATGTCCATGCTGGGTTGATGAAAAGGAGGCAGCTGATGCTGCTGCCCAGCTTGGGTCCTTGGGAGCAGAAGCTGCTTAGTGCAGTGCTGGAGGGCTCAGAGTGACTGTGCTGCCGCCACTTAGGTGGGTCACTCATTTCACTCGATGCAGGGACCCCCGCAGAAAGGGCAAAGCTCACAGAACCCAGGGCTCCCTGGCAAAGGGTGTTGGTACTCACTGGTGCTCCTCAGAGAGTGGAGGAAAGCGAAGCAGGGGTTGGCACAAAGGTGCAAGGAGGAGCAGAACCACCTTGGTCAGAGTTTATTGCGAGTTCCTGAAGCACTGTGTGCCCTGGCAGTGGGATTGTTGTGGTAGTGGTGGTAAGTCTCCCTCAGTAGGAACAGAAGTGGTGGGAGCCAAAGTAGAGGTAAGCAGGACCCAGCCTACCCCTGCTGCTGCTCCTCATAGCCTGCTGAGGCCATGTGCATGTGGGGCCGAGGGAAAAGTGCTGGGGATTGCTCCCTGCCTGGGAGGGAAGCAGCTGCTGCCTCAGACAGGGAGGAGGCAAGGCAGGAAGCCACAAGGGAGGAGGTGGCTGCAGCAGGTGCACAATGCCTCTCCCACAAGGACAGAGTCCCCCAGCCCATGCCCCTCATCCTGTCCAGCCAGGGGAAGGCTGCAGGCATGACAGGTCCGTGGTATAGCCAAGCAGCAATGAGGACAGGCTGTGTAAGGTGCCGGCGGTGAGGGCAGGTGGGGTGGCAAGAGCAGCTGGAGCGCTGGGTGCTACCTCTGCAGCTCTTAGTAAGGCTGGTTCTTAATGAAGCGGCAGAACATGGTGAAGGCAGCAAGAGGCCGGTCTGTGGGCACCATGTGGCCAGCTCCCTGTAGGAAAGGGACAGTGGNGGAGCGGTCGCGGTCCCGCCCGCGCTGTGGCGGAGCCGCTTCGCGAGGGCCGGGCCCGCCCGCCGCGGGCGGTTCCCGGCACTGACAGGGCGCGGCCGCAGCGGTCGCTACCAAAATGCCTTTGAAGAGCGGTGGCGCCGGGGCGGGGCGGCGGCCGGGCCGGGAGGGCTGCATTGATGTGAAGGCGCGGGGCTTCCGCCGCCCGCCGGGCACAGCGGTTGCTCCTGCTGCGCTCCGGCCCTGGCAGCCACTGCCTGTCCCGGCGGTCCCTCGCGCGTAGCGCTGGCACGTCTCTCCCCACACTACTGCCGTGGCCGTTCCCCGGCCCGCGGGTCCCGGTGGCAGCCGGCGGGCGCTGGCAATGAGGGACGCGGTGCAGCGCAGGGCACTGCCCCGTGGTCGCTGGGGTTGCTCCCTTGCCCCGCGGCTGCTGCTGCACAGCGGCTGTGGAGGATGACACGGGACCTGGGAGGACACGGCTGTTTACTGGGGGCTCCCTGGGGGCCGCAGGACCCCTCGCAGCCGGCGGAGCTTCTTCACATCCACCTAGCCGAGCACCCGGCCTGCCTCGGCCCCACCTCCCTGGGCAGCCGATGGCCGGTGCTGGCCCACGGCCCCCGGTGATGGGGAAACCGCGGGGCCTCTTCTGCTCTTTTCCTCTGGGATATCCCCACTGCCCAGCTGTCTAAGGGGTTTCCCATCTCCCGGAGTCCTGCCCTCTGCTCCGGGAGCACCGGGGTCAGTTTGATGAGTTAACGCTGGCGCAGCAGTTCTGGAGGGGTAAGTGCTGTGTAAGCACTGAGGCTCCCGTTTTGGGCTTCCAGCAGCCCGACTCCGCTGCCCAGAGCACCGATAACCGCCCTGGGCACAAAGGGCCGGCTCAGACCGACCCCTGAGGGCAGAGGGGACTCTGTGAAGAGACAGCAGAAACTCCAGCCTTGGAGCGAGGCAGCTCAAGTGGCCGAGGGGGTGGTGAAGGCAGGCACAGACTCTCGGCATGGCTCGGCCAGGGAGGATTTTTGGTAGGGAGCCCCTGGATGAGGAGCTGCCCGTGTTTCCCGTGACGGGAGCTGGACGGCGGCGTGGGTGCTCATGGGCACACTCCAGCAGTGCCCATCTCGGTGCTGTGGCCCTGGAGCCAGCCAAGCTGCCGCTAACGCACGGGGCAAGGCCATCCAGAGGCACGTCCTGTGGAGCCAGCGCTGCCTGGCCCGGGGTCGGGGCAGTCCTGAAGGCCGGCAAATTCTCTGCTCAGGTTCATGTTACAGATGGCCATGAACCAACTCCCCCAGCAGCACTCCCGGCCGGGTCTGCACTGAAGCTGGGATAACTGAGCACTTGCAGAAACTTCTTAACACAGATTGGGAATTCCCAACAGCCCGGACACTGCCATTTGCACATGTGCCCCTCGCACGGGGGGTGCCGGAGAGATCCACGGCTGTGGCTGCGTGTGCAGGACGTGGGGAGCGGTGTTGTCGGGGGAGGAAGGCTCCGTGTCCAGTCTAGAGCTGGGGTGGCCAGGCGAGCCGCTGTCTGTGCCGGGGCTGGCAGCCAGCCGGGCTCGGCGGGACACAGACCTGCATCCTCCCCGTCCGTCCCGCTGTCTCCTCCCAGCTGTGAGCCCGCAAGGAGTGGCAGCTGGGGGCTATATAAAGGCAGGGAAACCTCAGCCAGCTCAAGAGAAAGTCTTGGAGCTGGTGGTGTTCTCCCTCCTTCCTGCCTTCACGTGATTCAGCTTCCCCACGCCAGGAGCCGGGGACCAGCCGCGCTGTAAGTATCCGAGCTGAGCCAGCATTGTGTGGGGGAACCCCCAGCCTCTGGGCAGGACGGTGGCTCCGGGCCCCGGGGAAGGGGATCCCCCATCCTCTCTCTTCATAGAATTGGAGGAAAATGCAGTGGGGGAGCCCCGTCCCACCCCACAGCCCCGGGTAGAGGGTCCCCATCCTCTCCTTTCAGAGAACTGGAGGAAGCTGTGGGGGAGCCCCGTCCCATCCCTCAGCCTGGCACGGAGCTCTGCCTGTTGCTGCGGGATGGACAGGCTCCAGCTCCCGTCTCAAACCAGCCTGGGGGCAGGCGGCACATCTCGGGGGGGCTGTGAGGGTTGTGGGGCGGCACCACGGGGGAGGGCTCTCTCCTCTGCGAACTGCTGGGGCTCCCCGCTGCAGCAGCACGCACGGGGCTGGCGCCTGTCCCTGCGGTTCGGGGGGAGTGCTAGAGTGAGTGTTCCCAGATGTGGGACCCTCGGGCTCCACAGGGCCAGTGCGGGGACTTGTGCATAGCACCCTGCGGAGGGGCCGTGCCCCTCATGGGCTGCTGGTGCAGAGGTTTCGGGTAAAGGCAACCTGGGCAGCAGCACTGGGGGGTTTCAGGGAGAACAGTGGAGCCGTGGGGTGCTCCTTGGAGCTATCACCTGTCCCGGGCAGATTGGACAGCAGCTGCATTCCTTCCAGTGTGTCCCCCGGGCCTGTCTGTGATGACATCCTGTATGTCCCCAGGCCAGTCCGTGCTGACCCTGCTCTCTGCCTCCAGGTGCGAGATGGCTGCTGGCGGCTGCCTCCTTCTCCTTCTTCTGCCCTCGCTGATTGCAGCCTCGCACAGCCCTCCTGGCTGTAAGATCCGGATTACTTCCAAGGGGCTGGACCTGGGTAAGGGGCTGGCCAGGATCTCACAGTCTGGGAAAGAGGGACGTTGGGCACCCTCCTGGGATCTGTGCTTGTGTAGGGCTCTGCTCACCATGGGGAAGCCGGGGAGGAGTGGGGGCTGTGAGAGGCGATGCTGCCAGGAGGGCCTGTCCCAGCCCAGCCTCGTTTTTCCCTGCAGTGAAGCAGGAGGGGCTGCGCTTTGTGGAGCAGGAGCTGCAGAACATCACGGTGTCAGACCTGCATGGGAGTGAGGGACAGTTCCAGTACAACATCAGCCAGTGAGTGCTGCCTGCTGCCCACGGCTTCCCATGTCCATCTGTCCATCTAACCACCGCTGTCCCCTCCCTGCAGGGTCAAGGTGACAGACCTGAAGCTGGCCTCTTCAGACCTGAACTTCCAGCCCCAGCAGCACCTTGTCTTCAACATCAACAATGCTTCCATTAGCCTACGCTTCCGCAGGCAGCTGCTCTACTGGTTCTTGTGAGCTGCCTCCCCTTCCTCCTGCTCTGGGTGCTAACCCACCCCATAACTGTGCTTGCTGGGTGCCACAGGTGCCTTGCTGTCCTGCAGCTGGCAGGAGCTATGTGCTCCTCTCATCTGCTTTCCTGGCTTCTAGCTACGACATTGGGTCCATCAATGCCTCTGCGGACGGAGTCTACATCTACACAGTGCTGCAGCTGGCCAAGGACGAGGCTGGGCGCCTCAAAATCTCCAATATGACCTGCAACGCCTCCATAGCGAGAATGCATGCTGGCTTCTCCGGCACACTCAGGTACACCTGACCCCTCTGTGTGTGCCTGGCTCCCTCACCCCCTTCCCACATCTTCAGTGCTTCCTCATCCCAGCTATGTGCTGGAATGGCCACAGAGCCACAGGGAGAACAGGCAGTGCAGAACCACTCCTGTGTTCTCCAGGAAGGTATACGAGTTCCTGAGCACCTTCATCGTCACAGGAATGCGCTTCCTCCTCAGCCAGCAGGTACAGCTGAGCGCACAGAGGGTCTGTGGGATGTTAGGGCTCAGCCCTTTGTGTGTGGGAGAGGGTAGTCATATCCCACCCATCTGCTGGGCCTTGTCCTGCCTCTGCAGCTCCTAATCCAATCCTGGGAGTGATTTCCCTCAGCCTGGCTCCTTGCCTTGCAGATCTGCCCATCCCTGGAGCATGCCAGCCTGGTGCTGCTGAACTCTTTGCTGGACACAGTGCCTGGTGTGTGTTGCTCTGGGAAAGGGGCTGGATTCCATTCACTGTGGGGCAGACAGGGCTGAGCATCAGGCTGCCAGGCAGCTCCAGGCTAAGTCACACCAGCACATCTTCCCTGGCAGTGAGAAACTACGTGGATGAGCATATCGGGATTGACTACTCCCTCCTACGGGATCCGTCCATTTCCACTGATACCCTTGAGCTCGACTTCAAGGTGAACACTGGGTCCTGCCTTGCTGGTCCTTCCCCA